TTGGCAGATCACTTGAGGCCCCTCATTTTATTTTTATATTGACAATTCATATACAGCTTAACCACAAATGTATCTAATGGGTGTACAAAAAATGAAAATAAAAATCAGTTACAATTACAAAATCTGAATTCAGTTTAATAATAATAAATCAGTGCTTTTTTCTGGTCATACCCAATGGTACACAGTACTGGCACCTCTTTTTCTGGAGAAAAGCACTGATCTTTACATCCAACAGCAAGTGGGAGCAGCGGGAGGGAAAGGGCAGTGACACATCTGTCTCCCCAAGCGAAACTCTCTTCTCCCAGCCTTTCGAGTGGCTCCATGCGCCACAGCAAGCATGAAGTGAAGGCCGGAGCACTGCTGCTGAGCATGTCCAAAGGGTGGCGCAAGTGTGCTCTGGAGGAGCTCTGCTGTTCTGGACATGCCTCAGGGTGCTGCGCAAGCAGCCTTCCCTTTTCCTGCCAGAGAGTGGGGTGGCGAGCTGCAGAAGGGCAGCCATGGAGGGAAGAGGGGTCATGCTGCTCATCGAAAGGGTGGGCAAGCAGCAAGAAAGGCTGCTCTGTGAGCAGAGATCAACCACAGGCTGGAGGAAGGCAAAAATGGCAGGCACTCTTGGGAACAAGAGCCTCCAGCCCACCTGTAATCAGCATTCTTCTGCTGACCTTGCAAAGCCATTCCCAAAATCTGTGGGCCACTTATGATCAGCGTCTTCGTCGGTGCCCAAGCAACGACGCTAGCGTTGGGAAAGAGCTGCATGCCTCTGAGCATGTGCAGAGTACCCTCCCTCTGACCCCCACTTGCAGCTGAGCAGGACCGGCATCCTTTTTTTCTAGAAAAAGCACTGTTAATTAATAATAATAATGTCTTTGAAGCTCAGTGACTGGGCAGGGATATAAGGGATCAGGTGGCCTCTGAAATATCCTGGCCCCAAGTTGTTCATATACAGGTGCCGACCATTCCTGCCCCCCCCCATCAACAGAGCATGTATAAGCCCCCCCCCCCGACCTGTTCCACCCCCATTCTGCCTTCTTCTGGGTCCAAGAGGACCCATGCGTCAGCGATTGCATGTCAACTGGAGATGTCTAAAATGACCGCTGCCCGTATATTAATACATGAACCACAAATCGGATCTGATAGTACAAGCTTTTGAGTGCCAGAGTCATGTGCTGTCATAGCCTCTTTCCATCAATCATCTAGCTACCGTGTTGTCTGTATGTGGCAGACCCATATAGAGTACATTACAATACAACCCTGACCATGTGCATCTTCTGGAAGACACTTCTATCCTTGCTGGTAGAGAAGGAAGCATCATAATAATTAACATATTGTTATGCCCACATCATCCCAAGGGCTTGGGAAGAATAAATCCAATTAATTAAAAAATAAAAATAACTGATAATCTCAATTTAAGACAGGCAGTACATATTTTTATTTCAAACTTTACTTTTCCAAATTTATTCTGTTTACTTTAACTTCAATCCATAACAATATTTTGCTGCCACATTTTAAAAAATATGCTCCAGAGTTCTGAAAAAAAGCACTAAATTATTTTAATGACATATTATTCTATCTGTGCTATTGTTGTAGATAAATAGGCTACAGTTCAAAATATACTCTAACAGGTATGATAGCAAATATTATTTCTAATGTTTACTGCACCATCTACAAAGCTTTTATTGTGCTATTTATATCTCTATGGTTTGACATTTTAGTCTGAGAAATTAGGAACTCCTTTATAAAATTTCCAAGGATGATGGGTTTGAAAAAAGAAGTGATTCTTTTAAATTTCTAGCAGAGTATTATACTGAAGTCACAAGGAATACCTTGAAGGCCCTAAGATTAGCTGCGGAAACTTATGGAAGACAATAACTTTTCTCTTTTACTTCTGTGTGAGGTAGCTGTGAAAAACCTTCTCTTGTGGGAACTGAACTCTTTCTCTCTACCAAGGTCTGGTATCAATTACTAGGGATTTAGAGACCCCATATAAAAGACAGTGCCTATTTGTTTTGAAATTTGTTTTGTGATTAAGCTGTCAGAATGTTGCACAAATGCCAAGGTAAGTTAATTTTTAAAATAATGCTTTAATGAGCTATGCAAGAAAGGTGAAACTGCATGTCTTTTTAAAATGCTAATTGTTCAGTTTTTTAGTTGATTTTTCTATTTTTTATCATGCTGACCTTAACTAGTCATTTGGATAGAGCAGAAATATTTCATTTCAGATAATGTAATTCCTACACATTTTGAATCTATAAGCAAAGCTATGGAACTGCTACAAGTTTACCACATTCTCTATTTTGACCTGTATAATTTTTCACCATAGATATTGCAATAGTACCAGTCTGAAATAAAAATGGAATTATTCAAGAAAACAGGCAAATTTGGGGCAACCTTATTAACTTACTTTATTCCAGTTATATTTTTCTACCTACTTATGGCTGTGATCCTACATACATTTTAAAATAATTCAAAGCTACCTACTTCCAAGGAATTCCGCTTAGGAATTAAATGTAAAACTGGAGACGTATAGTACTCCAAATTAGATGGGGGGAAACCCAGGAACATTAAAATAAAAAACATTTAACTCAATCACAATACAAACTGTTGTGATGGGCAAAAAGAAAACCATCAGGGAATATGTAAGCAAGTGTCTGAGTTGGCTTAGATACTAAACTAATTCTGCATTCAGACAATCCTCCAAACCATGAAGTAAGTCATGGGGAAAGTTTGCAGCCTTGGCCTGGAGGGCTTGCTCAAAACTTGCTCGTTGACCTAGACATAGCAGCATTTGATAAGGCCAGAAAGTAATATACTTAGTTGTGAGCATGAGGAAAGGGAAAGGAGGAGCTCTCAAATCCCAGTCCTCCAGTTATGGTTTGGAGGACTGTCTGAATGCAGTCTGAAAGTGTAGCAGCTGTCAAAAGTGATAGTCACAAGTGTAGTTCCCCTGCTGTAACACAGTGGTACCTTGGTTTACGAACTTAATCCATTCCGGAAGTCCATTCTTAAACCAAAGCGTTCTTAAACTAAGGCATACTTTCCCATAGCAGCGGGCAGGGCCGTCTCACCCATAGGCCATAGGGGTGCGGGGCACCAGGGCACCGGGCTCTCAGGGGCGCCAGGCCAGGAGTCCAGGGAAACGGCTATGGCTGTGGGCGATGGCCGGGGGAGAAGAGGGGAGCCCCAGGTCCCCCTGCCGCCCTGCCAGAAACGGCGCCGAGCGAGGCTGCGGCGGGCGGAGGGAGTTCCCAGTGCCTTGCTCCACCACATTTGCCCCGGCCGGGCCTGGCCTTTGTGCTGGTGGGAGAACTGCTGGCCGCAAAGTACTATCAGGACTCGGAGGTGGCCCAGAGGCAGGTACCGCTGGAGGGAGCCTCGCCACGGGGGACAGAGAAAACTTTGTGAGGCGCCTGCGGGGAGGGATGCTAGAAGTCAGGGCTGCTTGGGGGGCAGCAAAGGAGAGAATAAGCGGGGTCGGGGCTAGTCTTGTGTGGCTGAGAAGTTGGCAGGCAAAAAAAGGCATTTCGGGGGTAACTTTTGTTTTGCATTTGGGGAGCCCTTTTGTTTTGCAATCTGTGTATGGTGCAGCTGCAGAGCTGCCTGTTCAGAAGGGAAGCCTTGTGACTTCCACGTAAAGTGTGTATCCATTGCAACTTCACAGTGCTGTCCTCTCCCAAATCCCATGTGGGATTTTTCAGTGGGATATACCAGTGAATAGGCTGGTAGCCTGAGGTTTGCAATCGTCCATGTGCTGGGGAGCAAGTCCGCTTGAATCCCACGGGGTGCACTTCTGCCTAGACATGCATATGCTTGCAATGTAAATATACCTCGCATAGCATTTAATGAATGTAGCCAATTAACAGCCACAGGGAGGGGATCGCCTTCATTGCGCATCTTCTGTAACACTAGTCATCCAATGAAGCACAATGGTGGGAGATTCCTAGGCACAAATTTATTCACCCCGTACAATCCATATGCTGTTGAACTACAACTCCCACCAACCGAAGCCATCAGGTATGGGGGCTGGTAGGAGCTGATGGGAATTGTAGTCCAACAACATAATATGGGGTGCGCCACAATATCTGCCCCTGCGGTACATAGTCAAACTATGAGATTTGTTGCCACAGGATGTGATGATGGCTACAGGCTTAGATGATGTTAACAGGATGTGTGTGGCATGTTCATGAAAGGTCTGTTGTGGCTATTAGCTATAACAGCTACCTAGAAACCTCTGTGTTTGTAGGCAGTATATATCTGAATGCTAGTTGCTGGGGTGGCTGTCTTGTCGTGGTTGTGGGCTTCCTAGAGTATCTGGTGTGTGATGCAGAACTAGATTTAAGTATTTCCAAGTGGGAAGTGCCAGGCGCTGACCAGGAATTCAAGGAAAACAAAAGTCCTCTGGAGGTTTTTAAGCAGGGGTTGGATGGCCATCTGTCATGGATGCTTTAGTTGAGACTCCTGCATTGCAGGGGGCTGGACTAGATGACTCTTGGGGTCCCTTCCAACTCGACAATTCTATGCTCTCCAGTGCCAGAGGCATCATGCCTCTGAGACTGTGTGCACACCATACTTCAAAGGAAAGGGGGTGTAGGGAGAATCCAGGGCTTATCTGCAGTGTGGAAGGAAAGGAGGACATTTTTTCTGCCTTCCCACTTCCAGCCACTCTCTGAAGACTGGAGAAGAGACCCTCTTCAGAATATGAAAGGGGCGGGCAGGGGATAGCGTGGCTTTGTTTTTTGAAGCCTTCAGATCAGGACCAGACCATGTGAAAAATGAACATAAGGTTTCAGCTGCAGTTCATTCATTTTGAGCTTTGTATTCTTGTTATAAAAAGTGTGCCGTTGTTGCGCCCATAGCCTTGGTTTAGGGCACCATTTAGCTCCCGGCTTTCTTATCTCAGTTTCTAACACTGTTGCAGAGCTACATTACTCAAGTCACCAACTAGAACTATTTTGCTACACTTGCTTCTAGAACGTGAAGCAACACAAATAATTTATTTCAGACAGCAAATTTCAGAGGTTAATGTCATTTTTTGGTATCACCCTCCATTCTCCTACAGTGCTTTTAAAAAAGCTTCAGTCTCTATGTGGGGTGGGGTGATGCTCCTCTAAAGTATCGAAGACCAGTCTTGAAGTTTTCTTTGGTGCTATTTCTCTTGGATGTCATCGTCCCATGGTTGCCACCGCTAAAGATCTGCAGATGCAGTTGGAGGAGTACAATCTCAGAGAACGAAGGGAGAAGCAGTGGGACAGGTTATTTCTTGCCTGTCTTGGGAGCGTTCACGTTTTTCCACCACCATCCCTCCTCTGTCTGCTAGGCTTCATCCAGTCCCAGCCACCTCCTGGCCCTCCAGGCACTGGGTCATCTTCACAGCATCTCAGGATCTCTCCCTGCACCTCAACACCAGCACAATCAAAAGATCTGGCAATATGGTTTTTATGATGTGGTTTTCTGTATGATTTTTCTAAACCGCTCTGATTTTTTAAAAAATGAATAGCTATATATGTTTTTATAAATAACATAAATGAAACTCTGTATTGCAGTGTAATGTATCTTTATTTTTGGTGTGGAATTTTATGGTTGCCATTCTAAGATACCTTGAAGACTTTTTTTGTCAAAAAGCAAATAAAAATAAGGCGATTTAAACTACAAATAATGTAACATGTCAAACATGGTGCACTTGCCTCTTGAGCCTTGAGACTGCACAACTTCTTTATCCTTGAAATATGTTTTCTCCCTATTTTTAAACATCTCAGATCCTACAACTAGCTAATAGGGCAAAGTCTAAGAACATGAATATGGAGGCAACATTCTCTAAAACCACATTTTATTGTTCTTTCAATTAGTAAAAATAGTGATCAGATATTCAAAACACAGGTCCAGACATGTAGCTCCGAAATTGGACTTGGATCCCTGCATTTATGGATAGCATACATCTGTGCTTAATTTTTTTTTGCTTTACAGTAATGTATTAGTCCAATTAAAACTCAACGGAATAAAGAGACACAAGAAACTTCGGATTAGAGCCTGAGAATGGAATATGCTGTGGTTTACCAAAAGAGTAACTGACTAGCAAAATTTGCTGACTTTAAAAACAAACATGGGCAGCAAAGATGTACAGTGGTACCTCAGGTTAAGAACTTAATTCGTTCTGGAGGTCCGTTCTTAACCTGAAACTGTTCTTAACCTGAAGCACCACTTTAGCTAATGGGGCCTCCCGCTGCAGCCACACGATTTCTGTTCTCATCCTGAAGCAAAGTTCTTAACCCGAGGTACTATTACTGGGGTAGCGGAGTCTGTAACCTGAAGCGTCTGTAACCCGAGGTACCACTGTACTGTAATATGTACTATATCACAATATTGAATTGTAGGACTGTGGTAAAACTCTTTTTATATAACACAGAAAACAGACTGTGGTTTCGAAAACAGAGATGATGATAATTATAGATAATTCTATATCATTCTGCACCATATGCCAATTAAATACCAAAATGCAAAGTGTTTTAGTAGCTTACTTTGTGCTTTACATTTATTTATGACTTCTACATAACACAATTCCTACTTAAAAGAAAAAATAAATCTTAAATTGATTATTATTATCCATATCATGACACCTGCCAATAATGCTATGCAGAGGGAATTGAAATTACACGTATCCATAACTTTAGCTTGTGATGAATTACAATTTTAATTATGTATTACACATTATTTCCTATTAAATTAGCTACTGCATTTAGAAATATATGGTAATGTAGGAAAAACAACATCATGGTCTCAAACAATGTACGGCTCAACTTGAAACACAAACGCAAGTTGGTTTGCCATGTAACATATGAACATTGCTTCTGCAACTATTTCCCTTTCATTATGTTGACTTTACCTTATTAGCCATAGTTAATTAGGATAAGGCAATGGTTGCAAAAACCCTAACAACTTTTATGGAACTTAAACACTGAAACTCAGAAAAGTAACAAATACAAAACCAGTATTTTTTCCAACAACAGCATCTTCATCCCTACTTAGAATTTGCGGCTATATTCAGAATAATTTTTACTATTTAACATACACCACTCCTGTGCCTGCCAGGGGATGATTTCCGTCTATCCCAGGTGAGCAGGTTGTGTGCAGCTGTGCGAATGTGGAGGGGCCTAGTCAGGAAGAGGAAATTCCGCACATAGATCAGCTGGCAGGGAAGCTGGAGAGGGGAAGGATAGAGCAAGGGATTGAGCAGATCAAGCTCTTCATTTTGAAATGAGCTCCCTTAAAATCAATGGGTCTTACGTACCAGGAAATTTACTGAGGAATAGGATATAAGTACGCAAATCCTAAATAAATGTGGCTGACACTGCTAAAACTATAGAGTACCAAGAATGAACTGTTTTGTCAAAATAAACTTTTTGATACCTATTTTCTTCCCTTTACAAAAACTCTGTCTTGCAAAGTGAAATACTGTGTTTGTTGCAAGATGATCTAACTATGTTATAAAGAAGCCCTTAAACTGCTGCTAAGTGGATGGGTCTGCTCCAATACATGTCTTTATGTCAGAGAGCTTCGAACAAAAACATATAGCAAATGATAGCAAGAATAAAAGCAACGTTAAAAGAAAATCAAAGCATGCTATAATATCTTAGCAAAAAAAAAGCTTACTAATGTCTCTCAGCAGAAAAAAGGATGGCAAGCTGCATGGGTCTTTGTCGTGCATCTTTCTGAGTCATAATTTAAATTCAATACAATACTCATTCCAAACTCCTCAAAGTACACATAATTTCTCATTTTGAAAGCCTGCATGCTGGCATGGCTCATCCTAAGCAACACGTCTTCAGAGTTATATGTTAAGATTAGCAATACCTTGGAATTCTCACCCCAAAATATTTTCAGGGCAAAAGGCATGCTTTAAAGGGGACATGATATGTCATAAAGGAGATGTTGTCACAGTGCCTCACATGGATTTTATATTATTCAGACAACCGGGCGAACTCTTGCCGTCCTAGTGTGCCACACTGTGGTTATTTCCCTTCCTGCCCTCTCACTCAGCAAGAGGAAACAGGGCCCTGTGTGGCTGAGGTGGGCAGGCCAATGTGCTGTAAGGGCAGCCAATGGAAGCGCAGCAGGACGCCAAGGCAGGGATCAGCAGTTCAGCCCCTGGGCCCAGGGAGCATTTCCATGTCCTTCTGAGTCATATGAAAAGAAAAAAGTCAAAAAGCGGCCCTGCTGTGGGAAGGCATTATAAAGAACATTTGCAAAACGGTTCCCTCAGTTTGGCTCTACTCTAGTTAAGATGTTTTGATCTATGGGGTTCAGGTCAGGCAAGTTTGCTGGCCAATCAAGCACAGTAATCCCATGGGCATTGAACCAGGTTTTGGTACTCCCCAAATCTCTTTTCTGATGAGAGCAGCTTTTGCATCTCATTTGGAATCCAAGGACCCAGAGTCTGGAGGAATAATGGGGAGGCACACAATGCCAGATGCTTGAAGTCCAGTGTGAAGTTTCCACAGTCTGTGTTGATTTGGGGAGCCATGTCATCAGCTGGTGTTGGTACACTGCGTTTCATTAAGTTCTGGGTCAACGCAGCCGTCTACCAGGAGATTTTGGAACACTTCATGCTTCCTTCCACAGATGAGCTTTATGGGGATGCTGACTTCATTTTCCAGCAGGACTTGGCACCTGCCCACACTGCCAAAAGTACCAAAACCTGGTTCAATGCCCATGGGATTACTGTGCTTGATTGGCCAGCAAACTCGCCTGACCTGAACCCCATAGAGAATCTATGGGGCATTGCCAAGAGACAGATGAGAGACATGAGACCAAGCAATGCAGAAGAGCTGAAGGCTGCTATTGAAGCATCCTGGTCTTCCATAACACCTCAGCAGTACCACAGGCTGATAGCATCTATGCTATGCCGCATTGAGGCAGTAATTGATGCAAATGGGCCCAAAGCAAGTACTGAGTACATATGCATGCTTCTACTTCTCAGAGGTCCAATACTGGTCTATTTGCAATCCTTGTTTTGCTGATTTCATTTAATATTCTAATTTTCTGAGATTGTTAATTTGGGGTTTTCATCAGCTGTACACCATGATCATCACAATTATAACAAATAAAGGCTTGACCTATCTTGTTTTGCATGTCATGAGTCTATCTTATATATTAGTTTCACCTTTTAAGTTGAATTTCTGAAATAAATGAACTTTTCCACGATATTCTAATTTTCCGAGTTTCAACTGTATATTTGAAAACTATGGCTGGTACACAAACGATCTGCAGTGACCATGGCTAAGGATAACAACTGTACCACACAAACTATACTTTATATATATATGCTTATAAAGTGATGGGAAGGTTTTTCACTGATGCTTTTCTATACATATATGTCCTCACAGCTTAGCTTACTGACCTAAACCATGATTCTGTGCTGTATGTTTGGGAACTATTATTTACATCTGTATTAGGCCAATGTATACACTTCTAAAAGGAATCAAATCCACAGGAATTGTCCAGAGAAAGATAGTGTGCAAAGTAGGAAATAAAACAATTTTTAAAAAAGGATTTTTAAAAAAAATTAAAACATTAAGGGAACCCACTTTGCAGCTGTCTCTCTTGTGCATATAATCCCTTATTAACTACAAAGTGAAGGCCTGCATTGTCTGACTTAGTTTTTCTGACACAGGCATGGATTCAACAGAAGCCACAAAGAATGCTTGCAAAAGGGTGCAAATTACCACAAGGTATATATCATTATTATCATTTATGTTTCTAAGCCAACTTTCTAGAATGTATACTCTCCAGGCAGGTCACAGATCAACAAAATAAAGTATTAATAAAAACCATGGCAAAATATTTTGTAAAACATAGTTGCTCTGAATAATGACTTCTGACAGAAACATCCTCATTATCTTGTGGAAGATAACCAAAAACTGGACCCCACAAGTCTCCTGACGAAGTGAGTTCCACAGCTGTGGCGTCACAGCAAAAGAATGCCTGCCTCTTCCAATCCAAGCCTGTCTAAATTCTAAAATTCATGGGATACTCTGCAAGATTTCTCCTGAAGATCTGTGACGAGGATGCTGTAGAGAAGGAACAGACAATATGGTACCCTCTGGTATTGCTGAACTACAACTCCAATCATCCCTAACCACTGGCCATGTTACCTAAGGACAATGTGAGCTGTGGTGCAATATCTAGAGAACACCATGCTGGCTACCTACCTCTGTTACGTATAAGAGCTAATGCCCCAGTAAATAGGAAGGCAGTTTAACATACTGTTGTCACTTACAATTTTATTCTTAAAAACTGTTACAGAAAGCCAAGATTTACTAGTGCTTAATGATCCCAATCTGAGCATTTAATACCAATTTCTCAATCATATAAATGCAGCTTTTGATCTACCCAAAAGACTGGGTATCTATTGACTGTACACTCAATGCTGGAGTCATTCAAGGCCTAACTCAAGCGTTTCTCAAATTTCAATCACAGTTTTAGCTTTGCATACTCCTTACTATACATCTACCTAGCTTTATCAATACACCTAATATAGCAGTCCCAGTATGTCATCTTCAACAAGGATCTCTCGTTATGTTAATATGCAGTTTGTGTGTATGCATACACAGAATTCAATGTCGCTACAATCAGGCCCTTCAGCTCTTGGGATACTGGGTGTCAATACCTCTTTCCATTGTAAAATGTGTGCGTTTCCTCAACCCAGCCCAGTCAGATACAGCTTTACAAAATACAATTGAGTAAGATTTTAACCTAGCAATGCATGGCTGCACTTTCACACAGATAGCGTAATAAAAAACCAACCCACTCATTATTACCAGTTGCTGCATCAGGATATGACCAGGGCAAGATATGATCATGGAATGCCCAGAAGATGCTATGATAACTTCCTTCTCAGGGGAAAGGCTCACTATTCTGAACTCAGTTCACATGGACATTTTACTACATGGCAGCGCATTCCTATCTTTCCCTTTCCATCACAATACCTGATTGCTATGTATTTGGGATCTCCACGAACCTACTCTGTAGACAACCCCTTTACGAGTACGACGAGTCTATCTTAAACAAGAAACCCTGTGGGTGTGAATGTAAGACTCTTGAGCATTGTTGCTGAAGAAAGGTACCTCCATAATAACAAGAATCCTGTGAAGATAAGACAGAGGCTAAGCAAAAGTATTTGAGACGCTGTGAATTTTTAAGAAAATGGAACTTTTTTTGCAGGAAAAATGTGGATAATAAAGAGAATTCCATTTATCATTTTAAAAGTTATCTATGTTTTCTGAATATATAGATGATGTACAATAGTATATACATCTACTTGTTTTGAGGTTCTAGCAGGGGAGCGCAGCTATCGTATACCCTTGACCGAAGAACGGTACACTCCTTCTATCTGGGATGGTCGTCCTCTTCCACTGAGCACGCAGCTTCGGGAGGGACGCACATGGAGCGGTGAGGGAGGAAGGGGACACCCGCCTAGCCAGCCAGATCAGCCGAATCAACCCTGGCGATCAATGGGGTGACAGATGTCGCAGCCAGATCGCCCTCACATCCTTTTTTATATATATATAACTTTTTTTATATATAAGATAAGATGAAAATAGACTAAGGTAATGTAAGGACAGAATATTATAAATTATGGAAAGGATTTGCTGTGACTATTATAAATTAGGATACAGGAAAAGGGAGGAGGAGGAGGAGGTCAAGGAAAGAAGGTATTGAAAGTGGAGAATTGGAGAATGATGGTTTTACTTTTCTTTTTCTTTTTTTGTCTTGTCTCTTTTTTGTGTGTAATTTTAAAAAATTTCTCAATAAATATCATTTAAAAAAAAATAGTATATACATCTAGTATATACATTTAGTATGCATATATTTGTGCATACTAAATGTGGGGAAATTCTGGTACTACTGTACGTTATTTCTTTGTTTTGCGCATTTTTCAAAAATAAAATAAATGTACTATGGGGGGGGGGATACACCTACCCTGATCTTGCTTATTTCCTCCCCCCCCCCCCAATGCTTTTGCTGAATTTTTAACTACAGTTCCATTATACTTGGTGTAATAGGAAATAATACTTTTCTAAAAGAAAACGAAGGCTCTCAGGACATCCATTCTCAGCTATTATCTTCACATGCGGTTATTTATCTAACCATAATCTGTCTGTTTCTAGGAAGTGGTCACTTCAGGCCTCATTTTATTTTACTGCTGGTTGCCCTTCTGCTTTTTACGTATATCGTAGTGCCTTTAGTAACATGCTTCTGCCATGATAGGAAGGATTCTGTGTACATCTCCCAGGCTGGATAGCAAGCCATGTGCAGGACTGGGTGCTGCCCCTGTAATTCCCACACGTGGATTTTTAAAAGCTAAAATCCTGGTGACCAGCCATTCCAGAGAGGAACCAGAGGAAAGGATCCAGCCCTTCCTGTCCTCCCCCAAAACTGCTGATCAGAGGGATTTCAGGTTTGTAAAAAAGGCTGCATCACTTGTGCTTCACTGAGGTGTTTGACTGCAATTTTATACACAGATAGATAGGGCTTCAGTAGGGCCAAAATGCATATAATGGAGCTCAGGACTCCCAACTTTATCTAGCTCTCGTGTGAATTTTACTTTTAAATAAGGAATCCCTTCCTGCTCAGTACTTGGTACAGCAAAACCTGCAATGCTGGTAGATTTTCATGAAGGAAATACTTTTTTGATACACAGTATTTCCTTGCCAAACCCTTGAGAAGGACAAAGTTAGGAAAAGAAAGGTAAAATCCCAACTTATTTGTAGCATATTCAACACCTAAATATCACAATTATTATCTGTACACACTGTACATGCTATATATTACAGGAACACACTCACGCATGATCATAATTTCTGTCTTGGCACTAACCTAGAATTCTAGTCCTAAAAAGATTCCCTGAAATTATTCCCATTAATTTCAATACGCCTTTCTTCCACTGACTTGGCTTAGGATCATCGTCTCTGCAAGTACTTACTTTACAATGGTATGAAAATTGCAGAAGAGTAAATAACCTAATCATGTTGTTCCTGTTCATCTCTTACCAATTTATCCAATTTAATTCCTCTCACATCCCCCCAAATTCCCATAGTTAATTTAAAGAGAATATTATCTTAAGTATGCTTTCAAATGTGACTTTCCAACATAATAAATTACCCTCAGTATCCACAATAACTTTTCTTCATATAACACAAAAACAAAATAGCCATAAAAATCTTGGACATGGATGCAATTTACTGAAAGTACAAATGCTAAAAAGTGGTAGCGATTTAATACGCACACTTCTATTACCGTTGTTTGGGGAAGGCAGAGGCCTTTCTGAACAATGAAGAAACCAATGCTGTATTTCCTCCAGAATGTTTTATCTCTTTGGTCTCAGATTATCGGCATAAACACACACACCAGCTATAGATACAGATGTTATTATTTGCATTTTACATTATGTTACCATTAAACAATTCTCCACAAGAGCTACTACATGGCTGCCATCCTCATATTGGCTAATGTCTCTTTTTAAAAAGTGTCTCTATACAAACCAGAAAGTATGTTCTACGTATTTGCAATTTCACAACCCCACCTATTTTTTAAAGTGTACTTAAATTTAGGAGATACACAAGCAGATGTATTGCAATTAAATACATTCTCCTCCTTGGCTAAACTGAAATCTCCCATACTTGTCTAAAAAAAAAGAGGAAGAAGCTTCGACATCAGAAACGAAAGCTCGATCAAAGTATTTTTTTCATTTAGCAAAGAACAATACTTTCTTTTTTATCTATGCATATTTTAATTGGGAATATGAATAAAACTAAGCATATTAGATGTTCAGCTTATGCACAGTATGAATATATCTAAAATGTACAGTGTTTGCCAAACTGGCTGACTGTCAAGTTCATCAAAAGAGCATCCATATCCACATGTTGTTTTGATGTATACATTGGTTTCCAGTAAAAAAAGAAAAAGAAAAGCATTTGCATAAATGCTTTTGTTATGAATAATTAAAAAGTAGACATCCATATATTATGACTGGCCATAGACGCAATATGTATACATAGTGCAGTGACATACTTCAGATTCCTCTGGGGATTTTACAAAAATAATGTAACATTTATGATTATAATATTAATCCCTCTCCTTATCAAATAACGTGTGGTACAGATGTGCCTAAATACATGTCATTGCACTACTTGGGCAAAGGTTATTGCCACTGAATTGTGTTACCAAAGAATATAGTTTTAAATGTTGTCGTTTTTTAAAAGCCTATTGGTTCCTCGATACATGTGAGCGTGCACCAGACAGACAGGCAAAGCTTCGCAATAAGGGAGAGTATAAAGCTTCCAGTTCCAAGAGAAAGCATGGTCAAATAAAAGTCAGAACAGACTACACAATCTGATTCAGTGCCATATCTCTGCAAAGTGCCATTCTGGTAAAAAGGCGTATCATCTATATAATAATTTCTATGTATCATGTATGTATACCTCCACCTACGCACCAAAAGGTAAGGAAACACACCACTCATGAAAACTTGTCAGTGAAGCAAAACCAAAACTGCCACAAGACCCATAATATTTGCATTCAAAAACAAACCATGCATCTGATTTTCTGAAAAATGAAAGGTTGCTGGTTTTAAATCAGGTTGACAAAATGATAGAATGAAAACGATAGGCACAGAAATTGAAGAAAAAAACCAACAGTAACTACACAACATCCTTAAATCTAAAAGCCGTCATTTTTAGCAAGCCGGACTGAGACCCGGCTAGGCCAATGAAGATGTTGCTGGTTAGGTGGTCTAACTTAGTGAATCCTAGGACAATCCACCAATATCCAATCTGAGTGATTAAACGTCGTTTTCCTCTCGGCAATTTTACTCGGTTCCCCCACTCTGTTGTGAATGCTGCTAAATGTGAAATGTTGCGACATAATAATCAGAAGCATCTAAGGAAGGGACTGACTCTTACCCGGGGAAGAGTAGGAATCCAGCCACAAGGACAAGAAGCAGAGAGAGGACGACAGTGTGTTCACCTTGCAGTTCTGCGGTCTCCTGTGAAAGCAGATGGAAGACACTCGGTGATCTCCGTGGCATTTCTTGATTTTGCAAGTGCTCACAGGCCTGGCAAATATGGGAAGGCGGTCCTTACCTAGCAACCACAGGGCTCCAGCCTCGCAGCCACATGCTTTCCCCTGCCACCGCTGCCCCCCTGGCTGCCAGCTCCCAGCAACAACAATAGAAGAGGCAGAGAGGGGTGGCATGAGAGAGAAGGAAAGACACTGTGAGGGAGGGAGGTAGAATGAGAAAGGAAAGGGGGGAGAGGAGGAGAGAAGAGCGTGTTAAGCTTGTCTGGCAGTTAACAAGTCTTGAATGAAGAATGTTAGCAAACAGACAAACAGCATGCCTGGTGCATGCTAATGTCCCTGGATTCACCACTGACAGTTTGAATAATTCAGTAGGCAAGGAAAGAAAGAAAGAAAGAAAGAAAGAAAGAAAGAAAGAAAGAAAGAGTCTCTTCACCCCTTTTGAATGCATGCAGAAAAAGTATCTTTTCAACTTTTCCCTTCGCCCATTTTGGATGGCAAAATTCAATCATAATTTCAGATAGACTTTGTAATTCCTGATTGTCTGCTCTCTCCCCCTCCCCATCCTTCTATCACCTATTTTACTGCTTTTTACCTTGAAGTTGGCACCTGTCCTGGAGGTAGCATTTTTAATGCACCAGCCCTGTGTTTCCATTAGGGTGGAGGATGAGAAGCAGAAGAAAATGCCAGGATGCCTGGGCAACCAAAACATGTAAATATTTCCACTTGTATCAGGCTAACTTTTCAAAGGGGGGCGGGAATAGCCTTTCCCACACGGGAGATTCTCTTATACATTCCAGAAAAAGAGAGAGAAAAAGGGGAGAGGAAGGAGAAAGCACCAGCATTCTATTCAGAAAAGGAAAAACATTTTAAAAATATCACGTTTTCATAGCTGGGTTGGTCAAAAGAAATAAACCCCCAGATAACGAGAGAAAACAGCAGGGTTTGGGGGAGTACTTAAACCTCAAAGCAAAGTGCAGTAAAGGAGATGAAAAAATATTCCAAATATTGTAAGAGGGGGAAGAGGAGTTAAAAATACAGCCAAGGGGAAGGGGAGCAGTGGTCCTTTTTGGCCATGTTTTAAAAATAATAATAAAAAAGTTTTTGAAGGCCATCTGAAGGGGAGGCGGCCCTTGAAGCAAGCGGCAAAGGACTCGCCTCGTCCTCCCCCCGCTCGCGCGCGCTCTCTCGCCTTCTCTCTCTCGCGCAATCGGGCCGAGGCGAGCGAGACGGGGCGCGCGGCGGAAGCCCGGGATGAAGCAGGCGCGGCCCAGACGTACTCACGCACACAGGCATCTCTCGCTCGCGCGCGCGCGGGGGCGCGCCGACACACACACGCTTCCTTGCGCCAGATCTGCGACGCCCCGAGGTCTCTTTGCTCTGCTCGCCCGCCTTTGGCCGCCGCCCCTGCGAGCCAGCAAGAGCTCTTCTTCTGCCAGCCCAATGCGGGCTTGTGTTTGTGACGCGGCGGGGGGGGGGGGCTGGAGGACTGGTGCAATGGCAGAGAAAGAAGGGAGCCCGAGCGGCGGCGGGATGTGGGGCCGGGGGGGCTTCGCGCACACAGGCACCAGGCGCGCGCGCGCACGACATGCCCAGCTGCTGTAGAAAGGCGCTTTGCCGAATTCAACTTTGGAGGCGCCTCCTCCGCCTGGTCTCCCCCGCCCCGACTTGGTGCCAAAGAGGAAAAGGCACGCGAGGCGCACAAAGCCCGGAGAGAAACTCGCTCCATCTTTAGAGAGAACGGGCTGCAGGTTGGCAGCGCAAAGCCGTCCGCAGGCCCCGCTGGAGAAGCTGCGCCCGAGGCGGGGAAATCGGGGCAGCCACGGGCGGGGATGAGAAGGAGCGCTGCCGCCGGAGGAGAGGGGGGGGAGCAGCCCTGGCGGAGCCCTTGTTTTCTGCCGCAGCTGCACAGCCCGGCCGAGGCTGCTCGGCCCTCGCAACGAGCTTGGCAGCGAGTCAAGCGCCGATAAGCATTTGGGCGAGACAGCTCGACTGCGGGGCTGGAGGAGAAACAGCTGCCATGGGCGCGCCCGGGGGGAAGGGGCGAGGCGGGCGGGGGGGGGGGATCCTGAGGAGACTCGCCGCTCTCGCTCCATCCCCCCCCCAGGCTCGAGGAGTCGGGCCCAAAGCCCCTCGCTGGTTACCAAGTACTTTTGAGAAAGGGCCCTTTGGTGCCCGCCCCCGCCTGGCACTTCCTGCCGACTTTCCAAGCACAGATAATCCTTCCATTTCTTCGAGGAAGCGAAGCCTCCGCCTCCTTTATATACGTTAAAAGATAGATAATGTATCCCTGTCTCTCCTCCGGCCTGGCTTGGGGCTTTTCCCATGTAGCGCTCTTGAGGGGCGCGTCCCCGGCGAAACCCCCCCTTGCCCAAGACGGCTCCCCGCCCGCCCCCCCCCGACCAGGGCGAACTTCTGCTGGCGACTGTTGCGCCCGAGGCGTCTGCGCTGCCGCCGGACGAAGGTGGGCTCTTCTCCTCCGCGTGCGCCTTTCCTTTTCCATTTCCAACGTGCGCCCGCCCGGCGTCGGGGCTGGGGCTGGCTTCTGCTGCTTCGGGCGCTGCGTTTCACGTGGGAATGTGTCCCTGCCCGGGGCGACAGCTCTCTCCCCCCGCCCCCCTTGTCTCTCTTCGCGGCCTGGGCTCTGACTGGCAGCTCCGCCTGGGCGGGCGGATGGGCAGATCGAGGTCTTCTGCCTCCCGTCTGCAGAGCTGCTGCTGGGCCGAGACAGACGTGCATTTGGAAGCGGGGTGAAAGTGGACTGAAGGCGCCCCTTGTCTCGCTCCGAGGGGGGAGAAGGTGGTCAGCAGACCCTTCCACCGCACTTGGCAATGGCTTTCTTTCTCTTCTGCTTTGTAGACATCACACATATCTCAGCCCTGAGATATTCAGTCAAAGGGTGAGCAGAAAAGAAAGTGCAAGGCCTGCACACACACACACCCCCCTCACACACAGCAACAACAACAACTATATTTCTTGGTGTGCCTGCTTTGGCACACAGCAGCATTTCTACCCATCCAAGTGTCCTTTTGCGTCACATCTCACCATTTCAATCAACCAATTGAAATCCCACTTTCATATTTTAAATAGATAGATACATAGATAGATTTCCCCCCTATTGGTGTATTTGTAAATCAGCGTATTTCGTACGGGTTCTCTCTCTCATACACACAGATAGGCACAAGCTTTATAATGCTCGATTACCCAACACATTTTTTAAAGGATGCCTTGCAATATTCGAGCACAAAATCTCAGACTTCTATGAAGATACTTTGCCAAACCTACTCTACTTTCTCTTCAGAAAATGGTGCAGGACTGCAGCCTCAGGGAGCAGTGAGGGAAGCTGACCCGGTGCTTTTGCCTGGATGTAGAATTGCCATCATTTCATTTTGACTCAACTCTCTTCAAATTCTGCTGACAGGATTATGACAAATATTTGCCCATGTACTACCATGAGGAAAATTCTCATTAGAAATAGCACCTTTTGTTCCTAAGAACTGACAGGAAAATATATCAACTGGAAGAAGTCAACTGTATAGTTTTGCTTTATTTCAAAATATTGTTCACTTCTGGGATACTGACCACCTTGCCTTTTACTTGACAGCTCATAGGCAGGCAACAGCGCAGCTAGTCCCCCTTTCCAAATGCAAGTTCATAAGAAGGTACTAGAAATTCACAGCACTGAAATTATCTGGTCTCCTGTCCACTTACATAGTTTGTCTATATTTAAGCTTATTTTGAAACAGCAAAGCTCACATTGTAACTACTGCTAGTCTAGTGGGCATCTTCTCTAACAGCTAGTATAGGGAAAACAGCCTATTTGTCTTAACCAGAACTGCAGCCTGACAGTGTATATATAGCAGCGAGTTACAAATATTGCAATACACGGTATGCCAATTTCCCTCTCCCCCTCCCCCGGCTTTGTCCACATTTGGCCATTTTAAAAAGGCACCTGCCATCCTTAGAAAGTGTCTCAGAAAATTTGGCTTCCCACGGACCTTGTCTCATCTTTGCTTTGGTCTGCTGCTGCTTGCTTGCGTTTGAGATGGAGAGGAAACACGAATGTTTTTAATATCTGTGTTGAGATACTATGATACGAAAATTGTATAAAACCATTAAACCACCTATTCAATTAACACTCGTTTCCCATTATTTATTCTGAAGTAGAGAATCATGAATCAAGTATATAGTAGACTATAAAATATTTCTGCATTGACACAGATTTGTAATATTATCTTAAATGCTGGTTATCTGCCACTAATAAATTATATTTTCAGATGCAAAATGCAGTAGCGAGATGAATATATAAACCCCACCCAAATGAATTAAAACTTTTACTAGCTCTAGATCCACAATAACATTTTATCTATCTTTTATTTGTTTACATTAATCATGGGAGCATATGGTGGCAAGTTTACTTTTGATTTTATTCAGTAAGAAACAGAAATGTGAAGTATACATTCCTTCTAAATTATTGTATGATTTTATCTTTTGGAGATGACATAAACCAACACTTAAATGGTTCTGGAAAGTGAAAATAATTACCTGGATACTTCTGAAGCAATCTTCTCTGGTATGAGAATTTTAAGAAGACAGAGAATTTAGTAATTGTTTTTTTTGTCAGTGAGCCATATTATGGGGTTGTTGTTTTTCATTTTCTTAATGTTTACTTCAAGCAATTTTTTTTAAAAATGTCTCTCAGTCTCTTCATGTCTGTCTGTGTTCAGGATATATATATTTTTAAAACACAACAGTTTTTTTTATTTTTAAGGATTAAAAACTCTTGATAGAGACTTGAAATATTCTAGGAAAGACACGTTTCCTATTTCATAAATCAAAACTACATAAATGATTAATTTCAATATGGCACTTGAAATGGCAAATATTAAATGCTGCTGTCTTTTAATACTGAGATTTTGGGTGACACAAGGACAGAATTACTATACTTAATATTCTCTTGTACATGTAATTAGCTACACATGTTTTTACTTGTGCTGTATTTCCTTATGTGAGATGCATCTGGTGGCGAAGGACCCATCAGAGCTGAAGCACAGCTGAGAACGGCAGCGCAGCACATATGGCTGCTGCTAACACTACACTATGGTCACAATCCACACAACCACCATGGAAAGGAAGGAGGAAACTGTAGTGCTCTCCTTCAGCTCCCATCAATTTCAATAGGACTTCACTGTCTTATTTCATAGGGAACTTGGCACCGAACTGGTAAACCTATATAAATGATACTTCGGATGTAGAACAAAGTTTCACCCCTCAACACACAATTTGTTTCCACATAAAAAATAAAAATAACAGTGCATTGAATTAGTCGAATTAGTGAATTAAACACAGAGTATTGAGAGGTTACTTTCCTTTTTAAAAAAATGGGGGAGGGACAGAACAGCTTACTTTAAAATACATTTTCAGCAAATTTAAAGCAGTAAAGATTCACATCTGCTCAGTATCAACACACATTGGCTATTAACACTGGATATTAACATTCATGGGTTTAAAGAGCTATTTGGTGTACCATATTAAAGTTAAATTTATTAATTTATTATATTAAGTTAAAAATAAATATATTTCATATATTTACTCTTAATACTACCTTCATATTTTCACATTGCTTTAACTTTGCATTATGTTGTATCAAAACTCATTTCACTGCAGCACATTTGAACCCCATTGATATATAAGAAAGTCAATGCTACATTTTTAATACTTGCTATATTTACGACACATTATATATTCTGTCATTTACTAAGCTGCTTCATTAGTATCTATTTACAAAACAAAACAGCCACTTTCAGTGTATTGGACAGTAATTCCAAAATAACGTGGTAAGAATTAACGTGACTGTTGTTATGCTTAGCTTGTTGCTATGGCAGTCCCGTCACTGACATCTAAGATTATGCTAATATTTAACAAAACATTTGCTTTTCCTTTAATATTTTATTCCCCATATAAGGCAATAAATAAATATAGGTTCAATAATTATAGACAATATTATTGGAGCTGTATTTAAAAAACTTTACCCTTCTCAGCCTTCTGTATGCTCATCTGCTTACTTAGGTGTGCAGCCTTGTCATGGAATGATGCCCAACTAATTTTTATAATTTGGATAACCCTTTGTATCATTGAGTTTTTATGCTAACCCATTTAAATGCATTCCCCCCCCCCCATTTGTACTGTTTGGAAGGTTCCAAAAAATACCCTTCCAGAATAGACTTTGCTCTTGTGGTATGAATACACCAGATACAATATTCCATATAATTTTGGACTGCCTTCTCTTTTATACTCTTCGGAGACACCTATTGGTGACTCCTTTGAAGTTTAAAGTATCTACTTGCAAAGAATTTGTAATGCAATATTTGCTGAGGGATGATATTCTTGAAACTACTGAGATTGGTTTCAGGATATTTAGCAGGGATTTTAAAAGTCAAATCTAAAGTTACTTAATATTACTTAATGTTGGCTATTGAATCTTTTATATGTTTTATGTGTTTTAATATGTCTGGATTACCAATGTTTTAGGACCCCCCCCCCCCTTTTATGATTTAATTATCTAAATTATGGCAATAAAGGCTGAATGAATGCACGAGACAACATCAGCCCTCCATTAAATATACTGGATGTGATTTCCCCCCTCATCCTTGTTTTTAGGATTTTCTGCATCTGTTCACATTTCTGCCTATAAGATGTGGGCTTTTGCCTTTCTCACTTTTATTTTTAAGGTAGAAATTTTACTTATTTCATTTTAAAAATGAAGCACTGTGATACAATAGTAGAACTCTACCCTAGTTTGATGCACTTAGCAGTACAATCCTATACATTGAGTTCAGTGGAGTTCAGTGGAGTTTACTGCCAGACAATTGTGTATAGCAGCCTAAAGAAGATAAGCATGGTGAAATACTTGACAAGTACTTTTGAAACCCTTTTAATATTTGAAACACAGTGATCTATAAACTGAAAACTACATAGATAATGAAATCTTATAAATTTACAGTCTTTCCTCAGTGAATTTTGTGTATCATGCTAATAAGGGCACATGGACACACGAGCTGGGCCTGGCCACTTAATTTCCCCACTAATTGTAATCTTGCTTCAAAAAAATGACGCAGTAGGGCTGATAGCAAAAAATATTATTTTAAAAGTATTTTTAAGCAACTTGCACATTTATTTTCCTTTCAGCATTTACAAATATTTATGCATTGAACCATAACAGAATATAAATAAATATGTAAAACAAACATGTGCTATGTGCTAAAAACTGTGTGGTTCAGAAAATTGCTCAGAACTGCAGGTTGTAAATATTTCTTCTCAGTTCATTCTAGACCAACCTATTTCAAATTTCACCAGTAAGTCAACTGCAATGTTTTTAAAAAGCCTTCACCACAGTAAGTAATGTTAATTATACAAAGTACCAAATTCTGGACTCTTCAACTTTTAAAAATGGAAGCATTGACAAAGATATAATACAAACTGGTTGATACACTTACATTATATGCAGTATTATATTAATGAGTCATGAGGCTTTCATTCTAAAACTTGTGATAACAAACTTGAATGCTCTTGCTTGGGCTTAAGGCTCTTTCTTTTCAGTGGTGTTGCTTTTGAATAAGGAGCAAGTTTTATTACCTTGTTTCAATAAATAATTTAATCCCCATTTAGAAGGGAATTATAACACGGACTGTTTTGCAACTAGCTTCAACCTTCACTCTGCCTGCACTCCCATAAACAGAAAAGTCCAAGTACTGACTCCAGCAAGAGAGATCCCAAAAATGAGATTTAAAAGTGCTTAATTTTGGCTGGATTTGTGTGAGAGAGACTTACCTCTCTCTCTCTCTCTCTCTCTCTCTCTCTCTCTCTCTCTCTTAGAAGGACACACTTAGCAGGCTACTAGTTTTTTTTTTTTTTAAAAGCCTCTATATATGCACGTGCAGTTTTTCTGCACAGGTAGCGATCAAAATAGCTTTCTGATCAATTAAGAACCCGTATTTACTAAACAGCCAAAATGCTTTATATTCTGTCAAGGTACACCAACATATATTGCTTTTTCTTTGTGTTATGTTAGATAGAAACACACTGACATTTTTAATTATAACACAATATACATTACAAAACATTGTGGGAGGGAGGGGGAAATAAAGAAATGTGGTGAATATTAATTGTTGTTGTTGTTTTTAGTTAGGAAACAAGCTATGCAATATATAACCATAGTTTATACACAGAGGGAAAATTACAATAATATATTTTCAAATATAACTTTGCAAATGGATGTATAATAAGAATAGGTCTCCACTATGGTGATATTAATTCTCTCGAACTCTTCACTCCCATTAATGGAAGCATATGAAAATAATAGAAAAGAAAATACCCAAAAAACCCTTAATTTGAAATTAATAATGGTTATACATGAGAGAAAGAAAGGAAATCTAATACTAAGAATATTTCCCCTTCAGATTTGCAGCAAATGCCAGGTTCAACCACTTAGACAAAACTTCTCTTTGCTTATCCTCTTTTTAAAACACATTAACTTTAACCACATTACATATTCTGTAATCTAAAGATATACAGATATACAACCTAAAGGATTATAAATATTAAGGAAAACACTTCATTTTGGATTTTTTGGAGTTGCCACAGCTTTAAAATTATTTAGTTTATTTATCATCTGTCTTTGATTAATTAGGTGGCCAATAAATTAAATTACTTGAGCTTGTGTAATGCTACATTTATGTGGATATTTAATTCATAGTTACTGAATGTGAGAGGCCTTGGTATTAAAGTGCAAGGGTCATCATCAGTACTTGCTATCTTCAATATTTATTTAAATATAGAGTGTCCGCTGTTAGAGTGATCAGAATGCAAAATGGCTTTAAAATAGTTAACAAGTTCAAGCCCCATCAGTATTGTGGAAAAAGTTTAATATATACTGACTATGAATTGAATTCAGAGATGTCTTGTATGAGCAGGTGAGCATTTTGAGTAGAAAGCCCCATTGGGTGAGCAGGGTTCTGCTCAGTGTCTGGATCCATGTGGTTGGCTTCAACTTCTGTCACATGTGATTCCTAATTCTAGATGAAAAATGATTTGTTGTTTCACCCACAAATACAAATTATCTGCCAACTTTGGATGCAACCTTGAAAGAAAAGTATATTTAAATTGTTTCCCCTTAGATCTGGCAAAGGGAACGGTATGACCTGTATTATGAAGTGTACTTTAATTTCAACCTCAGTAAGAACTACCAAGTAAGTCCATAAAAACATGCGCCCCCTACATTTTCCTGGCCACCACAAAAATCAGTAATGCTTCTTACATACAAATGAGTAAACACCACACTTTTTGGTTTTTCCAGAGCAGAAACAACAGTTGACAATACTAATATCTAACGTCTCATTTAAGAAAATAAAAATGGCGATTTATTACCCAGGGTGTGCATACAAGTTGAATGTAAGCAGAAACATTTTGCTAAGGGCTTAAAAATCTATTGTTACCAAGCCAAGTGCTGTAGAAATAAATGCTCTTTAAAATCACTCTGAGAAATCTATTAAAATAGTTCTTTTGGGTTAGGTATGACATACAAGCTAGTTTATAAAAATAACAACAGCTAGATGTTATGTGTATAATTTAAAAGAGAATTTGGAAGCTGTTCAAAGCATGATTGGTCGCTGAATACAAGCACAACCTTGTCATTTATAAAGGCACAATCCTTAGTTTTATCTGCCAGCCCCATAACTGAAATTAATGGGAGCCCTGCTGTACACGAAGAGCATGACAGTGACTTGTTTCTTTTTCAGAGCTTCCATTCATTTCAATGGAACATGTTCAGGACGACTTCCTGAAGGATTACTTGATTACTCTACATTTACAGTATAAGTAAACAAATGTTGCTGGCAATTAAGTAAATGCTTGACTTTACCTCAAATACTGAGATCCAACTGTTGGGTAAATTGGGCATGACCATTTTCAAAGCACATGCGCACACAGATTCTCAGTAACTACTTCCTTACTTAAGAAATTTCTTAGAATCATAGAATCATAGAATCATAGAGTTGGAAGAGACCACAAGGGCCATCGAGTCCAACCCCCTGCCAAGCAGGAAACACCATCAGAGCACTCCCGACATATGGTTGTCAAGCCTCTGCTTAAAGACCTCCAAAGAAGGAGACTCCACCACACTCCTTGGCAGCAAATTCCACTGTCGAACAGCTCTTACTGTCAGGAAGTTCTTCCTAATGTTTAGGTGGAATCTTCTTTCTTGTAGTTTGGATCCATTGCTCCGTGTCTTCTTTCAGAAGTTTGAAAAAGGCTAATATGAGCAAGTATTCTGCAGTCAGGGATGAAGCTGGTTCTTTCTTGACATTAGCTTATTGTTTTAATGTTCGTTTGCCATCCTATGCACATTTACTTGAGAGTAACTTTTGACCACCTGTGAGATTCATTTCAGAGTAAAAATACCTAAGGTTCTGCTGGTAATGTCATATAAGGCAGGTTATGAAACTAACTAATTGAATATAATAATTGATTAAGTTCATTTGATTCAGAATTGTAAACCCTGGGGTCATCTAGTCCAACCCCGTGATGCAGGAATTCTGCAGACAGCCATTCCTGGGTGGGTTGGAACCACCAGCCTTCTGGTGAACAGCCAGATGCACTGACCCCTTGCGCCACAATATCTTAGACCAGGCTTCCTCAGCCTTGGCCCTCCAGATGTTTTGAGACTACAGTTCTCATCATCCCTGACCACTGGTTCTGCTAGCTAGGGATCATGGGAGTTGTAGGCCAAAAACATCTCTGGTTGCAAGAATGGCTAACACTTCCACTTCTGCTGGAAGGGGTGCAAGTTGGCTGATAGTCACTCAGTCTACGGCCTCACTGAGCCCCCCAGGAAGCTTAGGAAAGAGCTGTAGCAGAAGTCCCTGGTTCAATCTCGGCCATCTACAGATAGGGCTAGGAATGTCTCCTGCCTGAAACCTTGGAGACCCAGGCAGTGGAGGCAACACTGAGCTGGATGGAGCAACGGTTTGACCCAAAATGAAGCAGCTTCCAGGGGATCTGCTGAAGAGACTGTCCAAGAGACGGGAGGCTGCAGACAGAGGAGGTCACAAAGCAGAAATGCTCCCTCCAGCAGAAAGGCACAGCCTCACTAGAAATGTATCTGATTTCCTTCCGTGCACAAAATGTCAAATGACTTTGGAACCCATATTCCTACCCAATATTGACTATAATTTTCTATGTACCTACGAAATGAAAAAGTGGGGAGATATCATGCAAAGCTATTCTAAGTGATGTTCCACACAGCTGCAAAAGCTGAGACATAGTCCTGTCTCGACAAAAGGGATGTCACAGTAGCTGTGAAGACACAGCTACATTTTGATCCGCCTCAACCAAAATGTGACCATTTTCAGCAGGACTTGAGTTCTGTCCAGACAATGGAGCACTGCGTGAAAATGCTGCGTGGCTAAGTGAAGTTGGAACAACATTGCTGTTAGTACAACTGATGATACTATGGAAAAGAACTGGCTCAGTGAAGCTGTGAAGCTGAAATTCTTAATAATATCATTATGAGTCTTTATACAAGACTCATAGGCTAAATCTATTTTCCTGCTATACTGATGCAATACTAATAAGGAAAACTGGGAAAGGGCCAGAGGCCACGCCAGCAGATGCATAAAGTGGTCACCTAAATGGGTAAGTTATATATGCCCTGAGCAGAAAGCACTTTTTCCCCTCTTTCTTTTAATTTATTTATTTACTTTATTCAAACATAAAAAAACTAAAAAACCTGTATGGCCACTTCAGAAAGCTGCTGGATATTTATTATCGGGACTTTTCATTGCTGTTATTTTTGCTGCTACAGATTAACTTGTCTGCAATTTATTATGACAGAATTATCCTTATGCAATTTCATTGTGCTTGTCACTATCTTGATTTTTAGGCTACCACATAAAACAATTGCTATTGGCAGTGACAAAAGATTTCTTGTTGAGCTTCTGAAAATGTCAAGAAAACTGTATAGGAAAAAGTCACCAAAACTATAAGTCGGAAGCTGATCCATTATACAGAGACAGTTAACAGAATACATACAAAACCAAACCAAAACCCTTTTGATGCAGGAGGGAGAGAACACACCCTAAAGGAGGTAGAAAAACTTTAAATATTAATTAAATAATATTGTCTGTGGTCTGCTTCATTGCATCAATACTCTATATTACATATTGCATCAAAATATACAAAGGGGACTCCTTTTTGTAAAAGAAGGCATTACATTAACCATAGAAAGATCAGACCCTTTCAGAACTCCAAATTTGTGCCATGGAGCTCTAAGCACTTTATATATAGAAGTAATTCTTAAAGAAAAGGGGTTATGTGCCAGATAAAGCATACTCACATCACAGAGTCTTTTTAACAGTAGAATAATTTTTGCAACTTTAAAATGAATATAATAAATATTTCCAGGTTTTTCTACACTCTTAAGTTAAGCAGGTTCCACAACCTTCCCCCCCCCCAGCATTTTTCAAAAAAGTATATCTTTTGCTTTTTTACGAAATGTTGAGGAAAAACCAAAGCTTGTGGTTCTATTTCCCTGTCCAAACTAAATTCAAAAAGCAAATAACTGAAATGCCCCACTGCCTAAGAAATGCAAGTGTAAAAAAACAGTCACTTTTATATTGCATATATCCAAGAAGACAGTTGCCAAGTGTACGTTGCTTTTCCTTTGCTTGTAATTATCATAAATTTTAATTAGTCTCTACTTCTGCTGCATTTTCTTGTTTTGGATAAAATGATTGAACAGAGGTATTGTTTTACATCACATGCAGGTAGTTTTTCTTTCTGCATGTTACTTTCTAAAAAATATGCTGCACAAAGCATTTTTTATCATAATGCTGGGAAATTTTCTGTTTCAATCCTTTATTCACTATGCTGGTGAAATTATAGAACTCCCCTTCACCCAGGAGCCGCAATAAGTTGAAATGAAGAGGGATTTAAAACAAATAACCAGTAATATATTGAAAGTTAAGCATTTTGTTTTCTCTAAACAGAACAGATTCTGAGTACTAAAAGGGCTATAAGCCTTTTGTTGTGCAAATTCTCAACATTTCTTCATAGCAAATGGCTACAATTAAATCAACAGCTCAGTAAATATATTTATAAATGACTTCCTTTAAAAAAGTAGTTTTATAATTGCATATGACAACTATCATTCAGCATTATCACTGCAAACTATAAGAGCTCTTAAACCTCAATACATTCATCTTTCTCAAACTAATCATTTATGAAGCTAAGCAGCCCTTCGTCTGCTGGATGGGCCACAGGCAGCAAAGGCTGTGAGCAAACCAAGTGAAGCCTCTGAAGAACGTGGCCTCTCCCCTTCCTCCACAGCACCTGCATTTTGGGTGTACTGAACGTTTGCCTCTTCATGTGAATGGGAACATAGGTTGTTAAGAGACCTCCAATATTATCCTACTTCTCTTATTTAACCTCACTAATTAAATGTCAAGACTCTACATTTCTGCATGCTGAACAGCAAGTTATAGCTCATAATACAGTATTTATTGATATGAAATGGAGAATATCTTAGCTAGTACATTTGAGGTTCTATTTATACTACCAAATAGAATAAAAAACTTCTGGCTATTGCTTGGTGTGACAAAATTGGAGCCAACAGCAGTTGAATAGAACCGTCTCTATCCCGGGGTACTACAGATATGTCTCAGACTCTGCTTTCCAGACTGTTTTGGAATTTAATCACATAGTGGCAATTTCGCACCGATCAATGAAAGTGGGCTGGGTCTCAGTCAGTTTTATTGGACATAGCCAAGTGGGATGGGGGCTCTTACCAGCAGATCAGGGCTGGGCAGCGTTCACCAGGCCTCCAAACACACAGGGGTGAGGGAGGCCGGAGGGTTGGTCCCGTCTGCTGTGCTCCCCTCACCCTCTCATTTCTGGGAGTCACCTGCATTGGGAAACCAGGTGAGCAACGCTGCCCCATTCCAATATGACCCACTAAACCACTACTGGTTCTTGCAGAATAAACCCACTCCCCTCTCATATTGAACTTTCTGTAGTAAGGAAAGTGTGGCGTGGCAATTGCTTGACCCCGCATCATAGAAAGGAATGCTCTGTAAACAGCCGATATCATATAATCTTCCTGCAAACAAATCAGGATGAATGTTCAAAAACAGGTCTTCTGGAAGCAACCTCAGTTTGGAACTAATGCAGAAAATTGTGACATTAAACTTCAAAATAAAATGTGTGGTTTATGTAGATTTCCATCAGCTATTTTATCACACCCCACAGGAAATCCTTCACTGGGATCCACTTATGTAGATGTGTGAAGAAGTATGTAAAATAGGTTATTATAATACAAGTATAAACTTGATAATTCGGTATTGGAAGGATTCTCCTACATTCTGGTGGGGTTTTTTTGAGAATAATTTTTTATTAACCGACCAATCACATCAAATCAAACCAAATTACATAAATTCCAAATTACACAGCCAAATTTTAAATTTTTGTTGGGGGTACCCATATTTCAAGTTCCGAAGGGGATCCAATCAACTTCTTGCTTCTTGCTGCTGTTTTAATGTCCACAAATCTAACCTTATGATGTTCATAGTACTATCCAGTCCTTTCTTATTGTTTTGCCACATCTCTTGTTGTTATTTTCATATATTTTTCCTTTCTCTTTGTGACCTCTGATAGTCTCCACAAGCTGGTTAGAACATTTTGTAATCCTGCGTGGATATTATTTTTTTTATCCAGTAGCCATATCCAGATGTTTTCCATATAACATCACTTCCATACCTCAAAACAGTCTTAGCGTCATTAATCTTCACCAATCTGCCTCCTTTCTCAAAACCTCTGAGGAGATTCACTAGGAATGCAGTCTGAAAACAAGTCCGTTCTTCCTCCCGGCTATAAATCCTTTGGCAAGATGGCGACTCCGAATTATTGCTTCTCGATCTCCATAAAGCATACTTTTGGTTAAAGTTTATCTCCACACAGACCTTAATCATCCTGCTTGGGTCAGCTCAACCGACGGTTCTAATGAGGAGGGGTTCTTGTAAATCACATAGAAGGAAAGTAAAAAAGGCCCCCCCCATTCAGTCCCGTTGTCAACATACCCGGCCTTTGGTATATCTTCATCGTAAAATGTTCCTGTTTCTCCAACCCGTCGTCTTCTTTCGCAGAGGTCACTTAAATTAGCAGACTTCACTCCCCTTCTTCACTTGAAATATGTGCATTTGCTTCTTTTGTAATTAATTATTCCAAATTGCTGCAACTAGTGCGCGATCAGAGACAGCGTCCAGGAGAGCCGAGGTCCACACGGGGCAGTCTGCCTAGGGCCCTCACCCCGGCTTTCGCATTAGGGGGTGATTTATGGGCACAGCAGGCAGGGGCAGTGTTCCCCATTTCCTTGGGGCAACAAGGGAGGCTGCCTACTCCCATAACAGCCTCTTAATTACCCCGTGTGGGTCGGAGAGATGGTATTGTCGACCATCTTCCAATGCGCCCCCTAGTGGCCCCCCGATTCTCCTACATTCTGTAGGTTCCCTGATGATTCTATGTATGTAATTTGTTATATTACGTAATATATGTTATTTTAGTTTTTCACTCAGAAAGTATTTTGTTATTTTAAAAATAATGTAAATGTCTTCTGAACTGCTTGT